AACAAAAAATAATTCAAATTAGTTCAGCTGCTTGATAAAAATCTAGCCATCGACTGCAGCGCCATCTGCCGGGCTGATTTGTGAAGAAAAATTCATTTAAATCGATCAAGCCGTTTAGGAGGAGTTCAATGACATACACACGTACAGCAGAATTATATAATATGTCGCAGAATCAACAAAGATGCACAACTATCGAGAATCGTTATTTTAGAACAACGCCATCTGTTATCATTTGTCGGAAACGTCAAGCAGTGTGCTTGGGTGAGGTCGGTACGGGACGTGGCATGTTTGCATTTGAAAGGAAGGCGTCACTTTTGAGGGTGAGCGGTTGTTCGGCCAGCCCGTACCGAACTTACCGCGTTTCCGAAGGTAATCTGTTTCCATCGCTTTAATCAATTAAGATTTTGTTAATTTATTATTGTTAATAGACGATTAAAATCAGTGTTGAGACTATTATTTCTTACCTACACCATGTCTAACTTGGAATCCGATGACGAAGTACCCCCAATTGGTGCATTTTCTCCGACATATATATAAAGATGTAGTGATTATATTACGTTCATCAAAGCCTAAATTATTTCAGGTACACGGTAACACGACAACATAATTGACTGTTAGGCGGTACGAAGTACAAGTACGGCTCAGCTAGTTGTAAACACAGGAAAATCATTAGTAAACATCCATTATTGCGTTAAGAGTACCAAAACAAACTATCGCTTGTATAACTATTTCAAAATGGGAATTCCAGTGGTGCATGCTTGCCAAATGCGGCGAGGAAGGTAAGCTCTGTCCATAATTATAATATGTAAATAAAGACAAGTGAAATTATATGGTTTTGCTCGCTTTTTACAAGCTTTAATTTAACTTGCAATGTATGTACGTGTGTGTGTGTGTCAAGTGGAATCTTGCAACTGAGCGGTAAACAAGCAGACGGATCACCTGATGGTAAGCAATCGGCGCTGCCCATAGACAACCGGAACACTAGAGGCGTTACAGTGCTGTTACCAGCCATTTAAGGAAATAAGGAAGGCTGCAGATATGAGACTCCACTGCTGCACAATAGACGTAGAGTCCAGGAGTGGACTGCCACCTCACCCGCTTGGCTGGGTCGGAAACCGCTGTTTCAAGGGTGCAGGTTTATCAGCGAGGGCTGCTGCCTGATCTCTGTCAAAAGTCCCTTAGTAGGGTATACGACACCGCGGGAAGAGTAGGAGTGGTACCATACTATGCCATCACAGATCGAAGTGTGCAAACAAACAGACAATCAAATATCCTCTTTATAATGTTAATATGGATAAAAGGAAAAAACATTATTAATACTGGAACTAATATGTATATAGCGAGGTAGTGGTCAAATGTCGGCCCATTAAATATAAACAAAAACTAAGAGAGTGCTGTCATACATGCAATAACTGCAGTAGTGAACGCTGCAAGTCCAACTGTAATAATTTTTAAAACAGTGCTTAATATATTGAAAAACAGTGACAATAATAAAATATTTCAACATTCACTTAACAGACGAAAACTGCATCAAATCAAGAATCGAAATAACGGAATCACGAATAATCGTTATGTGGTTAACATTGCTAGCGATAATCGCCTTAACGATAACGACATCTCAATGTCACGATGAACAGGACCAGAATATCGTTAAAACGATATCGGACCAAGACATCAACACGAACCGGGTAAGGAGATTTGTAACCGGAACAGGTTACCCAAGTTCGAGTTCGGTACAAAATTACAATTACAGCAAACCTGGATATTATCTTCATAATGTAAATACCAGCAACATTAAACCTGTTAATTCTGCAACTGCTGGATATAGACAATATCCGGGTAATTATTCCAAAAATCAAGGACCGTTACCACGGCTAAAAAACATATTATCAAAGCATAATGCATCTTCACCAAAACCTGCTCAGAATAACAGCAGTCGCTACCCGGTTGCTAACATAACGAAACCCGGATATACAATTCCCGGGCAACAATTCCGGCTACCCGGCACAGCAAAACAGACCAACTCCCAATGCACCTCGGACGAGACCTGCTCAGAATAAAACCGGCTACCCGGTTTTCAACACAACGAAACCGGGATATAATAATACTGTAAAATATGACAAGTGTAGAAAAGAAGCGACTGGTGTGGATGCTTGTGTCATTACTGCTGGCTATGTTTGTCCGGAAGGAATGACAAGAATTGGTGAGATGTGTGTGCAAGACTCAGATGAATAATAAAAAAGTAAAATAGTCAAGATACACCATCACCAACCAACTGCCTGTTAGTGGCTACTGCCGACCAAAGGCGTCTTCGCACAAACCTTCTGTTTGAGCATTAATCACCACGCTTGCTCGATGCAATTTTAAACTTATAATTAGAAATTATAAGCCCAGGTTTCCTCACGAAGTTTTCGTTCACCGTTAGTCAGTGGTGTCTAACTAATTTCAGAAACTACAATGTCTTTTTTATTGTGATAGCCCAGTAAACAAGCAAACGGATTACCTGATGGTAAGCAATCGTCACCGCCCATGGACACTCGGAACACCAGAGGTGTTACAAGTGCGTTACCGGCCTTTTGGGGATTAGAAATTTGAGGATTGTGGTGGATTCGGGGATTGAGGAGACTGGGCCTAATTCTGTTCTAACCGTATTTTTAAGTATAAATAAATTAAACATTTTCATAAGTATGTATTTTATTTAGTCCTACAGTCCTACAGGATAGGAACCCGAATGAATTCAATTTTCTAGATTAAAAAAGCTACTAGGCTCACCCCCTATTACATTTGACATAACTTCACGCCTTTCGTTTCCGTAGGAGTAGGCAGAGGTGCACATTATGCCACTGTACAATTTAACACCCACTTTTTACTATTTATGTTATGAGTCCCATGTAATACCCCTATTATTGAGCCTGTGAGCCTATTGCCACATGAAAGAAAGAAAGAAAGAAAAGCCATTTATTTCTGCGCAAAACACACATAACATAATATTTAAAAAAAAGAAAATAAAAAAAGCCAAAAAATTAAAATGAAGTGAGATCTTGTCCATGGTCCGCAGACTTATTATTTTACTGAAATGATAGAATATTTAATATCTAATATTATCTGTGGACCATAGACAAGGAAACACCCTACTTACTTCATATAGGTACCGGGCGCAATTCCAGACTCCGTGCTACTACTGAGATTTTTTTAAAAACCGAGTATTACTTTGCCCGACCGTACGAGACCCCTTGCCCGGCAGTCGCACTAGCTCGACTCGGCCAACGAGGCAGTCGTTAACTATGTATAACTTTTTTCTAATTATTTTTATTAAATTTAAACGTAACTTGGAACAGGGGCAGATTATGGCCACGAATATATGTTTAGGACAGTTTATATCGCACGGGAACACGGACGAAGCTGCTGGTAGAACCGAATATTTTTCTATATATAACTCTCTATATATATTCTCTACCTTTGCCCTGCGGTGGGACATCGTGGCCACGGTAATATTATCATATATCATACAGTATTGTAACTCGGCCGCATGCCAGAGTTAAATACCTACAGCCGCGCGGTACGTAAACGTGCGTTAGGGCTGCCCGTCTCCAAGATTGTAATTAGGTACATTCGCATCCTTTCTGTTTCTACTTCGTTTTGTGATTGTAAATATCCTTTTTTTATATCAACAAATAAAATACTTTGTATATTGAATAGGAGTTTTTATAACATATTTTTGTTTGAAAATCAAATCGAGCTTATAAATTTGCGACCGAAAAATATTTGCAATAAAAAATACAACCCGAAAAAGCACAATATTTCCTACTAGCTTATACCCGCGGCTTCGCTCGCGTCACAAAAGGATAAAAAGCCAATGTGACATATACCAATACACACAGCGCCATCTATACCAATACTTTTGTGTTCCCTCGGGAATATCAAATTTTTCCGGGATAAAAAGTACCCTATTATTTAATCCGGACTTCTAACTATACATCTTCAAAAATTCAAAGCAATCGGTTTGGCAGTTATGGCGTGAAAGCGGAACAAACAAACTCACTTTCCGATTTATAATATTAGTAAGGAAGTAAGGATAAGGATAGTAAGGATAAGGATATCATATTAAAGATGTACTCGAAATGAATTTTAGAGAAAAATCGTGAATGTAGTACAGCCGTGACTGTCTGCGCCCGAGCGCACCCCAACATCGAGGCGCGTAGGTATAGCTCGTGTTTCGTCCGTTTGTATGAAGTTGGAGAACCGTATGATTGTATGATACTGTCGTAGCTCTGTCGGGTTATTTTAAATTAAAACAGAAGACTGCACAATTAGTAGGTTTAATTATTACAAATCAGAATCAAGACCGGCTCGCACTGACACAAAGAAATGCCCGAAAGCTATGGCGTGCTATTAGCGGAGTGTGTGGATGAAGAAGCGCGGCGCTCGCGCGGCCGTGGGTCTTTATACCCCCGTCCCGCGCGTCGCCGCCTCTATGGTCGATGGCCATACTAATCCGCCGACAATACTATTTACCGTGTTAACAGCGTTGGACAAATAGTAGATATCTTCTGTAGCTCATTGGCGGGGTTCATAAAGGTAACGAACGACTATGTTGTTACTTCTACTTGATGGATGAGTGCAATTAATATGGCTGTGTTATTACAATATTAATTATAAGTCTTTATATTGAGTGACAACATTATCGCATTGAGTGTAACCTGTTACAATGTGTTGATTTCAATAAATAAATATATAAAAATTATGTTTTATGTTTCAACGACTTCTATTCTACCAATTAAGCCCTTTCGTTTAATATCAATAATGGAGGTAGTTGTGGAAACAATTAGATTATATTGTATGGTCATCAAGATTAAGAGTGTGTACCAAATATCAGATCGATCTGTCGCCAGGAAGGGGGTGACATTACAATTACTACAGACCCAGACAAACACACGGGGCAAGCTAAATAAATAACTTTAACTAATGCTATTGAAAATAACAAAACTTCAAGTGGATTAATTTTAATGTATTTATTTATTTTTATATTAATTAACGCTTTACAGGTTAGGGCGCTAGTGTTGGTCGGTGGGCGCCAGGGTTTGTCATTGGGCGCTAGAGTTCATCAAGAGGCGCCAGGCTTGGTCGTAGGGCGCCAGGCTCGGTCATAGGGCGCTAAGGTTCGTCAGTGGGCGCCAGCACGGCGCCACTGTAGGCAAGGTCCCAATAATGTTCTACGCGATGTTTCTGAAAATGCTCACGAGCTTGTTTCTCTGTCGGCATCACCTGGAACAAAGGTTACAATGCTTTTCAAGCTTCCGCACTTCGAGGAGTGATACCACGGCCACACAGGTACAGGCGTGACATCACGCTGCGGTAGCATCACGCCGGTCTCTAATAGGCATAGGAGGAAATTTATAACGTCTTTGGTATCCACGAGCAACACTAATTGCTGACCATCAAAAGAGAACACTTTATTACAATTTTAGTCCGTCTGTCTGTCTGTCTGTCTGTACTAGCTAATGTATCATAAAATAATAATAGATATACTACATTCAGCCGACGGCTTCTTCTGTTATCTCGAGATAAAAATTACTCCATGTGTTAAGACTCCGGGTTCAGGCTATAGTCTATCTCACTATCTCTGTACCAAATTCCATTAAAATCTGCCTCGTAAATATTTTTTTTCATTGAATAAGCCGGTAAACGAGGAGACCTGATGGAGGAGGCTCACCTTCGGCGTCGCCCATGAACACCCGGAATACCAGAAACGTTACAAGTGCGTTACCGGCCTAAGTATTTGCGGTTGTTGGGGATTTACGGATGTGAGAAATTGGGGAGGGGGCGTAATTGGGCCTCCAGTAACCTCACTAACACGACGAAACCCAACGCAAGCGTTGTTTCACGTCGGACTTCGGTGACGCCGTGGTATCACTCCGGTCAAGCCGACCTATTCAGGCTGAAGCATGGCTCTCCCATACTGCCATTACACACTTCATGAAAGACATACATACATCCGTACAAACACACGAACATTAGTTGTATACCTTAAACTTGACATCTCCGAAGGCCCTCTGCTTGACGATCCCCTCCCATACAAGGCTACAACTGTTGGGGACCTCGTTACCCTCCGCGTCCTTCACCATGTCCTCCTCCCACTTTATACGGTGCAGCATTAGTCTGGAATAAGTAATCAGTCAATTGGATAATGTTCGTGAAATGTTACGAGGCAGTTTGATTAGTTTCGAGCTTGTCAGTAGTTTCAGAGTGATTGACGAACAAAGATTCAAACAAAATATTTTTTTTAATATCTTTTATCTCTTTGTTTTTTTTTAAAAACGTTGCCCCACACTAGGATTATCTCCTGTGTCGTGTATCCGTTTACAAACGTACAAGTTCACATACACATGACACCCAGACCCGAAACAACAATTTGTGGATCACACAAAGTGTTGTTTCGTGCGGGAATCGAACCCGCCACACGTTGCACGGCAGCCGGTTGCCCAGCCACCGCACCATGCAATATATTTGATGGGCTGACGTCTGACCACTATCTCGCCTGGTGGTGCACGATGATGCAGTCTACGATGGAGCACGTCGTCCCATAAGCAACCTATTCACTCGGGCCTTGAAGACACACAGGTTTGACCGTTCAGGAAACACAGAAATCCATTTATTATACTAGTAAGATAACAATAGTGACCTTTTATACTTGGCGTGTTGCTTGGGCCCCCCCTCGACGACGACGACGCAGCAGCCGCGGTGCAGCAGCACGGAGCCCGACATGTGCAGCTGGGCCGCGTTGGCCTCCACCTTGAACTTGGCCGACGCGCACTCGAACAGGTCCTTCACCCTGCGCATACACATTACATCACGCCTTCTGTAGGCAGAGGCACTCAATACCACTGTACAATGTAACACCCACTTTTCACTATTTACGTTACGAGGCCATGTAATAGAGGGGAAGCCTATTGCCATATACCGGGCACAATTCCAGACTCAGTGCTACCACTGAGAAAAATACCAATTTGGGGATTGTACGGTACGGGTCGAGTGTTAGGAATAAAACAGTACGAATGCTGAGAATACACTGCTTTATTAATAGTAAGAACTTCGATTATATAGATTATGATTACATATAAGTACATAGTACAGTGGGGACCTCACACCTCCCCCCTTAGAAAAGTAAATAATACGTTTTGATATAATGCGAATACATTGATTACAATACAAAATATAAGTACATTCCTTGATTACAAAAATATGGTTATAATAGTACTATTATGTTCACTTACAATAATACAACTTAGTGCGATTTTTATGAATAACATCGATTTTGTTGTTCTTTATAATTTCAACATTTGGTGTTATGTCTTTGACAACCACATATGGCCCAGAATATAAGCTATCTAATTTACCACCTACTTCATTTTTAATTAAAACTAAATCATTAGGGTTATACGTTACAGGTCGCTTATTTTTATCGTATTTTTGTTTCCTATGTAATTTACCCTTAAGCAAATTGTCTCTAGCCTCTCTTTGTGTCAATTGTAAACGATATTTCAGTTGCATTGGATAATCATCGTAGTTATATAATGGCTCGACATTAGTAGTTAAATTACTTGGGAGAGTACATTTCTTCCCAAACACCAACTCATATGGTGTGAATTTAGTTTCACTGTGAACCGATGTATTAAATGAAAAACACCAATATGGTAACCATTTGCTCCACATTTCAGGATGATTATCACATTGTATACGAAGATATGAAACTAGATGTTTGTGAGAGTTCTCTAGGGCGCCTAGAGATTGATGGTGATATGCCGTTGAGTTTATTTTATTAATGTGTAAGAGTTTACATACCTCGTTCATTGTGTGGGACATAAATTCCGTTCCTCTATCAGTCGCAATGGCCCTTGGGATTCCATACCGCAGAATGAAATTATTAACGAAACATTCAGCTACTTCAACTGTGGTCTTGGAAGTCAGTGGATAGGCTTCAACGAATTTAGAAAGCTCGCACTGAAGCGTCAATATATAAGAGTAATTGTTGTCATCTCGATCTAAGGGCCCGACGATATCTAAATAGATTTTTTCAAATGCGTAATTTGCTGTTGATGTTATAACCATGGGTTCCTTTATTGGTAAAGAATGTTTATTTCTCTGACACTTATCGCAACGCTGCACAAATTGTGCAACATCCCTTTCCAGACAAGGCCAAAAATAATATTTCTTTATATTATTCAACATGCGTCTCATGCCCGCGTGACCACTTGTGGGCAAGAGATGAAAGTCGTTCAATATAACCTTTTGGTCATCTTTATTATCTATTCTAGTTACGTTTTTTAATATGTATAACCGCGGTATAGTTGTACTAGCATAATGTTTTATCTCTTGTAATAATTTCCGTACAAAAACATCGTTTGTTTTAGTAACAATAAAATATAGTTCATTAATACTTATGTGTTTACAAAACATATCTAATTCTCTCACAAATTCGGCTGGCGTAATCCGTGATGGAGAATTCTTATATTTAATATAAATTGTCTTTTTATCAGCAATATAGCAAAATATAGGGGTTTCATAATTAATATTCTTTAATCTTCGCATGTTATCTAACTTTTCCCTTTCAATGAACACTAATTCCGTTGAATTCTTTGGTGTGATATGCGTTTCCACAACTTTTGGCTGAACAGGCCAATCGTAACTGGAGACGTTATCAGCCGAGGAATGCGTAGGCGGCGTTTGTTTCCGTTTTTGCGCCCTTGTCATAATACTCAATATGTTGTCATTCATTTCTTTTAAGTCTTTTATGTTTATATTGATTCGAGACAACGCATCCGCAGCTGAATTATCCGTACCTTTAATATACTCTACATCAAAATTATATTCTTCTAATAGAAGCCTAAACTTCATTAACCTGCTCGAAGGGTCTTTCATAGAAAATAAATAGACCAACGGCCTATGATCCGTCTGGATTCTAAATGGCCTACCATATAAATATGGGCGAAAGTGTTTTATAGCCCATACAATTGCCAATAACTCTTTTTCAATTACTGGATAATTTTTCTCCGCCTTATTCAAATTTCTGCTAGCAAAGGCTATCGGTTTAAGGTCACTATTACATAGAACTGCTCCTAAGGCATAGTTTGAAGCATCTGTTTGTAAAATAAACTGATTTTGCTCTGAAAAGTCTGGATACTGCAAAACTGGGGGTGAAATAACACTGTCCCTCAGGGTGTCAAAAGCTTTCTGACATGAGCTATCCCAGATGTAGGGAACATTTTTCTTACATAGGTGATTTAGAGGGATGGCTAATTTTGCGAAGTTTGGTACAAATTTTCTATAGTAATTTACAAATGCAATAAATCTTTTCAGTTCGTCAATATTTTTCGGTGAGGGATATTTTTTAACTACATCAATTTTTGATGGATCTGGTAAAATTCCATCACCAGAAACCACATGGCCCAAATAAAGAATTTGTTTTTTCAAAAAGTCACATTTTTCCGGGTTTAATTTAAGGTTGACTTTACGCAATCGTTCAAAGATATCCTGTAAGTTTTTATTATGCATTTCCAAGCTTTTCCCAAATATAATTAAATCATCTAGGTATATAAAACATTTTTCATAAGTAAGCCCTGCTAAAGCCATGTTCATCATGCGCGAGAAAGAACCTGGGCTTGTCTTCAAGCCCATAGGCATTCGCACCATTTGGTACTGTCCAGAGCAAAATGCAGTATATTTTCTGCTATCTTTTTCTAGTTCAACGTTATAAAATCCGTTATATAAATCCAAGTGTGTGAAATAAATACTACCCGATAATGCATCTAATATTTCAGTCATATTCGGTAAAGGGTACTTATCATCTTCAATCAAATTATTTAACTTCCGGTAATCAATAACTAATCTAAATTTCTTTTGACCACTACTATCCATCTTTTTGGGTACTAACAGCAAGGGGCTCGACCAACAGCTGTTACATTTTTCTATGATATTATCTTCTAATAACTTATTGATTTGCACGTTAATTTCCTTTTGTTGTGAGTATGGTAACCGGTATGGTTTTGTGAAGACAGGAGTGGCGTTCGATTTTAATGTAATTGTGTGTTTGTAAGTATCGGTGGTAGATAGTTTGTCGCCGGGTAAATAAAAAATATCTGCATATTTAGCACACAGATTCTCAATTGAAGTTTGTTCTTCCTCATTTAAATGTTTTAAATTTAGCTGGTTAAATAATCGCTTAACCCTGTCAGCGTTTTTATCTGTGGCATTAAATGAACAAATAGAGTAATCACTCAATTTATGAATGGTTGGCTCGATATTCTTTAAAGTTACAGTATTATCGGTCGTATTTAAAATCCTAACCGGTATGAGTCCGTTGCAGGGAGTGGCTAATGAATTTGCTAAGAAAACGCCTTCCTCTAATTCTTTGGAACAAATCACACATTGTTCACTAAGGTCTGTTCTTATGTAGTGTATCTGTTCACATCTGGCTGATATCTCATACATGTTTTCATTCTCGCATACAAAAGGCAAAGTATATTTAGTACTCGTGCTTGTCCATAAAGCTAAACTATTGTTTTTAAAGTCAATGACTGCGTTATGTTTATTTAAAAAGTCTTGTCCTATAATTCCATGTGCCTTACAAGGCAACGTATCAAATAAATAAAATTTGTGACTAAAGAAATGATTATGACTTTGTAACTGTAAATATGTATATCCAATTGCTTGGACTTTGCCTCCGATACCATTTATGATAATCTTTTCGTTATGGATAGGAAGATTCTGTTCGAGCGCATGTTTATATTTTAAGGCCGAAATGGTAGCGCCGGTGTCGAGTAACCAATAATATGACACATTATTTACGAATAACTTTATCCAACAACTATTACTGTTAGATGCACAAATGAAATTATTATAGTTATTCACGAAAAAACTTGTTATCAGTAGAGCAATTTACGGATTCATCGTTATCTGACTGTTCGGTATCAACGACACGAATACGGTCTTCGCTTATCCACTGATTTCCGCGTCTGTTATAATGATTATTGTACCTACCTCTTGGTTGCCACGGTCTTCGTGTGGTTGTAGCTTGTGGAGGAAAAGAGTGGCCCCTGTATGCTCGACCTCGAGTATTTTGGGTACGATAAGCCTGATTGGAAAAAATTCGAGTGTATCCACTTCTCATTCCACGTTGATTTTGACCTCTTCTAGAAAACAGATATGGTTCAGAATCAGTTTGGTACATACCCATGACATCACCCGACATAGAAGATCCCTCAGGTTCTTCCTCCTTGGCAGCCTGTATAGCGTCCTTGAGGGATTTATAGTTCCTAGCTGCAATAACTGTACTGAGCCTACGGTTTCGCAATCCATCCGCGAACTTTTTGATGGCAAATTTTTCATTAACATTCTTCAAAAGATTAAAACTCTCCGTGTTGCCCTCAGATTGCGAAATCGTAAGTTCCACAAACATCTCAGATATTTTTTTCCCATAATCTTCGATATTTAAATCATTTTGCCTAATCCGATGCAATTTATCTTGGATAGAAGCGGCTGATTTTTGTGGTAAAAGCTCTTTACGCATGTCTTTGATTAAATCTTCAACATTAGAATAATTTGAATTCAACTTTAACTTAGCACTTTGAGACAATCTACTTTTAAGTACAAATTTAATCAACTCACTTTTACAATCATTACTTTTTAATACAGATGAGTAATATTCTATGTTATCTATCAAAGATTTTGTATTCGATTCCTCATCAGTCATCTGTGGTAACAAAGACAATGCAGTTTTTAAATTAAAAGAATCCATTTTTGTGCTAGTATTTACACCACAATCAGATGAATCACCTTCCGAACAAAGTTGCTCTATTTCGGAATACAATATTTCAATATTTGAAGAAAGCTTGTTCACTAATTCGGCGACAGCGGAACTCAACTTTCCTTTCGTTATATCTATAGATAACGTATGTATTATGGATGTATACTTATCATAGAGATTGCCTGCTTCTTTCAATTTGTGAATTAAAACGTTCCCTTGGCGCCTATTAGGACCAATTTTAATTAAGTACTGTCTTACAGCTTTTAAACTTTTATACAAATCTTCTAATGTCTGAGACATAACTAAATAAACCAGGGCTCGCGAACAATGTCATGTTTTGATATCACACAGTTACACACATTATTTATTTCGATTACGTTAATATTAATCAACAATATTTATTTTTGTTTACATTTGGAATACAGTCATTACAGCAAAGTTCAACGTTCTCATCACTTTCTTTACACGATCCTATAACGACGCACGAACAAAATAATTTTAATGTTCTATAACTACGTCTTTTTTAAGTATATTTACGCGCACACTTATATTTATTATTTTTCACTGAAAACACTAAGCACCTCTTGTATAAACCCGCACTAATTTGTATTATTTTATTTATTTACTTTTTATATTGCACCCGTCGCTGGTTACACATCACGTTACACGATGCCGTTGCTCTTCCGCTCACTCGAACGATCACGCCGAAAAATTGACCAACGTACATTACTTCTACTAATTTCTTCCTGCATCCAGCGCCTATGGCATTTCTTGTACATGCGGTACATGAGGAGAATCAATCAAACGCCTATAACTAAGGCGATGACGGATAGGATGATATTTGTCGTACTCAGGTGGAATCGAAACTCGTCTAAAGTGGCCTGGTTGGACCCAGCGGCATTTTGCGCAATTATTACTTCTTCACGTGATTGAGTTTTTCCCATTTTGTAGAACAATACTTTCTTAAATGACAATACGTGTAATTCACAATAAAACCGACAGGTTTCTGCATCTTCCACAAAGTTCTATAGCCACTGTAATGTTTTTGAATACCATGCCAAATATGGCTTTCCTCCGTCCAGCTCTATGCGGTATCAATTACGCGGTACTTTCGGCAGGGTCGCCATGTACGGTACGGGTCGAGTGTTAGGAATAAAACAGTACGAATGCTGAGAATACACTGCTTTATTAATAGTAAGAACTTCGATTATATAGATTATGATTACATATAAGTACATAGTACAGTGGGGACCTCACACACACAAAGAAATGGATCTGTGCGGGAATCGAACTCGCAACACGTTACACTCCAACGTTGCGCAACAGTGCAATCAAAAAATTTGTTCAGTGTTTAATAAAAATAAATATATTTGTTACCTAAAAACAGCTACATGTACGCCCATAGACGTATCTTCTCTGATTTTTCTATCGACCTGGAATGAAATAAAAAAGTGTTTAACAATAATCCATATCATTTGATTTAAGAGCCCCAGTGTAGTTGGAAAATACTCGAGCACCCTCGAATGAGGACGAGACTATAGTCTATCTTTGTGTAAAACTCTTCTCAGATCTATTCAGTAATTTTGTGTGAAGGAGTAACATACATACATATGTACAACCACACAAACTCTGCATGCCATAATATTGTATTGTCATTTAATATACAGGGCTATGCTCGGAGTATCTCTGAAGGATAGGATCCGTAACGAGGTGATCCGACAGAGAACTAAAGATACCGATGTAGCCCATAGGATTAGCAAGCTGAAATGGCAGTGGGCCGGTTACATTTGTCGAAGAACTGATGACGGAGACGTGTTCTGGAGTGGAGACCGCGTTTAGGCAAAGGTAGTGTAGGACGCCCTCCAGCTAGGTGGAGTGACGATATATGTAAAGTGGCTGGTAGTGGTTGGATGCGTAGAGCTGAAGATTGAGCTCAGTGGCGTGCCATTGGAGAGGCTTATGTCCAGCAGTGGATGGAAACAGGCTGTTGATGATATAATCTACATACGATAGGGTAGTGGCCAGGGGATGATAATTAAAAATCTAATAAATCCCTCGGTCGGTTAACTAATGAAAAAATATTAGACACGTATTTATTTATTTTGTCGTATAAGAAAACAATACTTAGATAAAACGAATCAAAGTTTAGGAGTGCGAGCTAGCTACGTCATTTCTACGTATAAAACGTACATAGAAGTGACGTCATGCGATATTTCAAATCAATATATCGTCGTAAGTATTTGTTAATGTAAGAAAATAAAAAATACGTGTGTAATGATTTAAAATAATCTACCAGACGGTCATTGATATACAAATTAGTCGTCTACCGTATTGTTTTCAGAAGAGATAATCGTTACTGAGGAATAATTTAAGTTATCATTCCATGTCTGAGAACGGCAGTCAGTTTCACAGGTCGACCTACTAAAACCGTGTTCATAAAGTGGATAGCTTACCTTCTCTCTCTTCTGATCTTTCGTAAGAGCTCGCGCCTTGTTCGCCTCCAAATGAGTCTTCTGCCTCTTGGCGATCTGCTCCCGGACCTTCGCTTCGATGGCAGTGGGATCCTGGACAGCCTCCGTGCCCAGAGCTCTCATCAGGTTGGATATCCTGTAAGAGAAAAATTGCAAAATATTGCGGTGATATCAGTGTCGACTAGATTCGTCACCAACTTCCAGTGGGTTTCGTACAACCAACTAAAGGAATACATGTTTAATAGAGATAGGATAGCAGCGTACTCTGAATAAACTTGATTTGTCAAACTGCTAGTTCCAACCCGTTTTAAGTGTGGGAGAGCCATGCTTCGGCACTGCCAGGCCGGTTCGACCGAAGTGATAACACGGCCTCACAGAAAACCGACGTGAAGCAACGCTTGCGTTGTGTTTACTACACCCCTCCCCCCTCTCCAGTCTCCCCAATCCCTGAATCCCCAACAGTCCTCAAAGTCTCAATTCTCAAAAAGCAAGTAACGCACTTGTAACGCCTGTGGTGTTTCAGGTGTCCTTGGGCGGCACCGATTGTTTACCATCAGGTGATCCGTCTGCTCGTTTACCGGCTCATCCCATAAAAATAGAACCAGTTTGTCAAGTGTGGCAATTAAGGCAAGTCATTGGATGATATGACATACGCACATACATATAGAGGTATAATCTCACGCCTATCTCCCATTATGGTGGGCAGAGACTATGGAACCCCAATTGCTACGATTCTAACACACCTCTTTCGCTTCATCTACAGTCATCAGTCCTTCAGTTTGGCCCTTCTTCAATAGATCGCCAATCTGGTCGATATACGTCTGGCTAGGGCGCCCTCTAACGACAATCCAATTCATATCCGATCTGTATAATTCTTTCGTAAATCAGCTTTCATTCATACTTTCTACATGGATGATATTATCCCCTATAAAGTTCTGTCCTCACCTGAGTTTTGGTTCGGGCGGTGCTTCCAGCCCAAGTCTGACCTTCTCCTGCTCCTCCTTCCACGCCTCCCTGCGACTCTGTCGACGCAGCTTCTTTCTTTCCTTCTTCGTCAGAAACACCGGCATATAAGTCGGCTTCAACGGCTCGGCTGTAACCAAACAAAAGAAATACTTAGGAAACATCATCAAAGTAAAAAAAAAGCATTTATTTCAATTAAACCATAGTTTGGTACTTTTGAAACGTCAACAAATACAAAATAAATAATAGTCTGTCAGGCGGTCCGTCAGTTAGGTGAAGCTAGGTGCTCATTCCAAAATGTACATTCGAATGGAGAAGAATGAGCAAGAAACATTCGTTACATCATCATCAACAGCCTTTAAGCCCCCACTGCTGACCAAAGGCCTCTTCTCACACGGAGAAGGTTTGAGCATTAACCACCACGCTTGCTCAATGCGGGTTGGCGATTTCAACATTATAATTAGTAATTATACCTAAGCCCAGGTTTCCTCACGATGTTTTCCTTCACCGTTTGCCAGTGGTGTCTAAATCTTAGAAAGTACATATATCTAGGAAAAAGTCACATTGGTACTTGTCAGATTACGAAGCCACATTCTCATAGGAATGCAACTCACACTTATTTTTTTGGTAATGTAATTCAAAATTCTCATCTTAGATAGAACGAGAAACGAGCGGATCACTTGATCGTAAGCGATTGTCGCCGCCCATGGATACCGACAATACTAGAGAAGAAACAATTTCACTGCCATGGTTTTGGGGACTCGCCCCCTATTACAAGGGACTCGTATCTTAAATAGTGTTAAGTGGGTGTTACATTATACAGTGCAGTGGCATAAGTGCCGTAATGTTCATCTCTGCCTACCTCGGGGATAAAAGGTGTGATGTTATGGTTTTGGGGACTGGGGATGAGGGTGGAAGGATTGAAACCTTGATAATCCCATCCACACAGATGAATACAACGCAAGCGTTGTTTGTCGGTGTACTGTGAGGCCGTGGTATCACTGCGGTCGAGCCGGCCCATTTCTCCCAAAGCAGGACGCTCCCAAGTACGAATCAACACACAGGGCCGTATTAGAATACGCTGGGGCCCTTAGGCATACAGTAATTAGGGGCCCCTCACTAGGATTTTCTCCTGTATCGTGGGTGCGTTTGCAAACATACAAGTTCACATACACATCACACACAGACCCGAAACAACAATTTGTAGATCACACAAGGATATGTTCCGTGCGGGAATTGGACCCGGTAAACATTGCGAGGCATGCGGTTGCCGCGCAACGTACAGCGGCTGTGTGTCCGTGGTAGAATTGGGATGATGACAGGGTATGAAAACTAAAAATCTAATTAGTCCGTCAGTTAGGTAATGAAAAAATATTAGGTACCTCTAGATACGTATTTTTTTCATTTTGTCGTATAATGAAATAATACTTAGATAAAACGAATCAAAGTTTAGGAGTGGGGGCTAAAACGTCATTTCTACGTATAAAATGTACATAGAAGTGACGTCACGTGACATTTCAAATCAATATATATATACGTGAAAATAAAAAATACGTGTCTAATGATTTGAAATATTCTACCAGATGGACATTAAAATAAAAAATTAGGCATCTACCCTATTGTCTGTCGTTCGGGCCCCCTGTGTATGGGGGCCCTGGGCACGGGCCCCGAGTACCCTCATGGTAAAGAAGGTATTGTAAACACAGGAAAATTATTTTTACCTTAAGTAAACATCCATTATTGCGTTAAGAGTACCAAAACAAAACTATCGCTTGTATAACTATTTCAAAATGGGAATTCCAGCGGTGCATTCATGCCAAATGCGGCGAGGAAGGTAAGCTCTGTGCATAATTATAATATGTAAATAAAGACAAGTGAAATTATATGGTTTTGCTCGCTTTTTTACAAGATTTAATTTAACTTGCAATGTATGTACGTGTGTGTGTGAAGCGGAATCTTGCAACTGAACTGTGAAGTAGATATCTTCAACCGATTGAGCTGAAATACACACACACGTTTAGTCTGCATGACAATAAAATAATAAGACTGCCTCGTTGGCCGAGTGGTCGCTAGTGCGACTGCTGGGCAAGGGGTCTCGGGGTCGATTCTCGAATCGGGCAAAGTCTCAGTAGTAGTACGGAGTCTGGAATCGTGCCTGATGTATGGTAATAGAACCCCCTATTACATGGGACTCATAACATAAATTGTGAAATTTGATTGTTACATTGTACAGTAGCATTAAGTGCCGTAATGTGCACCTCGGTCTATCCCTTCGGGGATAATAAACCGTGTGATGATGTTATGTAAAATAAGTTGTGTAAAATAACAAAATCCTGTTTAAGTTTTTAACGAGCAGACGGATCACCTGATGGTAAGCAATCGGCGCCGCCCATGGACACCTGGAACACTAGAGGCGTTACAGTGCTGCTACCAGCCATTTAAGGAAGTAAGAAAGGCTACGGATATGACCCTTCACAATAGACCTCTAGTTCAGGAGTGCTCGCCCGCTTGGCTGGGTTGGAAACCGTAGTTTCAAGGGTGCAGGTTTATTAGCGAGCGCTGCTGCCCGGCTTATGCCATAAAAAAAAGTATGCAAACAAACAGACAATCAAATATATCCTCTTTGTAATATTAATAACAAATCTAATATGGACACAAGGAAAAGAACATTATTAATACTGGAACTAATAAGTATATAGCGAGATAGTGGTCAGGTTCAAATTCAAATTACTTTATTTGTAGAGTAGTAGATGTTATATAATAAACGAAAACTAAGTATTAAATGGACTGTGCAGTGCAGAGTGCTGTCATACATGCAATAACTGCAGTAGTGAACGCTGCAAGTCCAACTGTAATCATTTTTAAAACAGTGCTTATCTTGAAAAACAGTGGCTTTAATAAAATATTTCATTATTCACTTTACAGTGAAATTTAATTTCAAAAAGCTGCATCAAATCAAGAATCGAAATAACGGAATCACGAATAATCGTTATGTGGTTAACATTGCTAGCGATAATCGCCTTAACGATAACGACATCTCAATGTCACGATGAACAGGATCAGAATATCGTTAAAACGATTACGGACCAAGATATCAACACGAACCGGGTAAGGAGATTTGTAACCGGAACAGGTTATCCAAATAAACCCGGATATCTTACCACCCAGAACAAAACGAACGGATATAATGTTTCAACGCCCGGATTTAAACAAAATAGAAACAAAACAACACGGCTTTATTTGAATACCAGCAGTCACTACCCGGTTTCTAAAACAATGAAACCCGGATATACACAAAACCTGGCTAACTATTCCCGAAATCAAGCACCAACTCTGTGGCCAAACAGCTTACAGAATCTTAAGCTAAAAGCTACTCGGAACAGCACTGGCTACCCGGTTCCTAACATAATGAAACCCGGATATACACAATTCCCGGATAACAATTCCAGCTATCCAGCACGGGTTCAGCCACAAATTAAGAACGTGCCAACTGCTAATGCATCTTTGTTACAACCAGCACAGAATAATAGCACTGCCTACCGAGTTTCTAACACAACTAAACCCGGATATACACAATTCCCGAGTAACATTTCCGGTTATCCAACAAGGATTAAGAACGTGCCAACTGCTAATGCGTCTTCGTTACAACCAGCGAAGAATAACAAGACTGAGAAACCCGGTAACAGTTCTAAGCAAAATCTATGTATATTAGGCAACAAGACAGAGGGCATGGACGCATGCGTTGTAACTAGTAACGGCGAATGCTCAGATGGCATGGTAAAATATAATGGGCAGTGTATAGACAAAGCAAAATATATTGAATACGATATCGAATGAAACTGAACAATCGTATGAACGATAGTGAGTTTGTGTGTGTGTTTTTTTCTATGTATTAAGCCGGTAAACGAGCAGACGTATCCCCTGATGGTAAGCAACCGACACCGCCCATGGACACCCAGAACACCAGAAGAATTACAATTGCGTTAACAGCCTTTTGGGGATTAGGAGTTTTAGGTTTGTTGGGATTGGGGGGATTGGGGAAGGAGGGGGGGATTTGGGCCTCCGGTAATCACACTCACACGATGAAACACAACGCAAGCGTTGCTTCACGTCGGTTTACTGTGAGGCCGTGGTATCACTCCGGTCGAGCCGGTTCATTCGTGTCGAAGCATGGCTCTCCCACTTACTCAATCGCGTCAAAACGGCTGAAGAGATCAGAATGACATTTGTAACTGGAGTGAATTAAGGTCTGTAATAACACAAGCCACTTTTCGGGCCCATCGCAGCCCATCGCCCACGGGTCCGTTGCTGAAGCTTATCCCATATATCCCCAAGAGGTCACCGGTGACCGCTCTCCACTAACTACATTCTTCTTCTTCTCGATCGCTTGCTTCATTTCTGAAGGTCGTGCCCCTGAAAGGCCTTCATTGCTCTCTGTGTTATTTCCCTCCATCTTGTCCTGTTTTCGGCTTCTCTCAGGGCTTTCGTAACAGAGAGTCCAGTGTAGTTGGTAACTTGGTCACACCATCGGCTAGGTGATCGGCCACGTGGTCTCTTTCCTTACCAACAACAACCAGACCACTAACTATATTATAGATCTTATTTCCAATGTTTAGAGACTACTTTACTTTTGTATGAACAAATTTAGGGGATGTTTTTCAACGGGTTAAAACGTCACAATGTCCAACCGCTTGGACATGTCCGCAGTGGCTTTTTGATGGTCCAGCAACGCGGTTGTAGCCCCTCCTGGTTTTGCAAGTAGAAAGAACGAAAGAAAGTAAGAAGATTCATGTATTTTATTATTAAATATATTTTTTGAACGTGTATGGATTTTTAATCATTGTCCCGACCAACATCCTATAAGTGGCCACTGCTGACCAAAGGCCTCTTCTCACACAGAGAAGGTTTGAGCATAAACCACCACGTTTGCTCATGCGATTGGCGGTTTCGAACCTATAATTAGAAATTACAAGCCTAGAATTCCTCACGATATTTTCCTTCTTCGTTTGTCAGTGGCGTCTAAATAATCTTAGAAAGTACACATAAGTTCCATTGGTAGTTGCCGTTGATAGGTTTCAAATCCACACCCTCATGTATGAGAAACGCACGTCTTAAACCTCCACTATATTA